CAATTTAAGAATCCAAGAAGATTAGTTTTCAGATAAAGGGGTCTCAGAATTTTTTGTTTTTTGAGAGAATCTCACTTTGTCACTCTCAGTAGAGTACCATGGCATAACAGCTCACAGCAACCTCAAACTCTTGGAGTCAAGCAATTCTCTTGCGTCAGCCTCCCAAGTAGCTGGGACTCCAGATGCCACCACAACACCCAGCTAGTTTTAGAGACAGGGTCTTGCTCTGGCTCAGGCTAGTCTCAAACTCCTGAGCTCAAGTGATCTATCTACCTTGGCCCCAGAGTGCTAGGATAATAGTGGTGAGCCACCACACCCAGACTCAGATCTCAGAATTTTGATCCTGGAGGATCCAGGGACTCCTTGCCATCATAGGGTACCTCATGTAACCTTTATAGGAAATGTTGTGACAGAGGAGGGGAAATGAACCCTGGCTAGGCATGGTGGCTCACTCTTAGACCAAGAGCAAAACCTCGGTCACTACTAAAAAAAAAAAAAAAATAGAAAATGTACAGGTGGCGCCTATGGCTCAAGGAGTTAGGGCACCGACCCCATGTACTAGGGGTGGTGAGTTTGAGCCTGCTGGCCCTGGCCAAAACTGCAACAACAAAAAATGTAGCCAAGCATTGTGGAGGGTAACTCTAGTCCCAGCTACTTGGGAGGCTGAGGCAAGAGGATTGCTTGAACCCAAGAGTTTGAGGTTGCTGTGAGCTGTGATGCCACTGCAATTCTACTGGGGACAACAAAGTAAGACCCTGTCTCAAAAAAAAAAAAAAATAGAAAAATTGGCTTAGCACCTAGGGCACCAGCCACATACACCAAACGTGGCAGGTTTGAGCCCAGCCCGGGCCTGCCAAACACAATGACAACTACAGCCAAAAAGTGGCCGGGCATTGTGGTAGGTGCTTATATCACAGCTACTTGGGAGGCTGAGGCAAGAGAATAGCTTAAGCCCAAGAGTTTGAGGTTGCTGTGAGTTGAATAGCACTATACCCAGGGCGACATGAGACTCTGTCTCAAAAATAAAAAGAACGAATGTTTGTTGGACAGTGCCTGTAGCTCAGTGGGTAGGGCACTGGCCCCATATACCAAGGGTGGTGGGTTCGAACCCAGCCCCAGCCAAACTGCAACACAAATAGCCAGGCATTGTGGTGGGTGTCTGTAGTCCCAGCTACTCGGGAGGCTGAGGCAAGAGGATTGCTTGAACCCAAGAGTTTGAGGTTGCTGTGAGCTGTTATGTCATGGCACTCCACCCAGGGGGACAGCTTGAGGCTCTGTCTCAAAAAAAAAAAAAAAAAGAAAGAAAAGAAAAAAGAAAAATTGCTAGGAGCAGGCTCATGCCTGTAATCCTAGCACTCCGGGAGAATGAGGTGGGTGGATTGCCTGAGCTCACAGGGTCAAGAGTAGCCTGAGCAAGACTGAGACACTGTCTCTAAAAGAAATAGCCAGGCACTGTGGCAGGTGCCTGTAGTCCCAGCTACTTGAGAGGCTGGGAGAATCACGTGAGCCCAGGAGTTGGAGGTTGCTGTGAGCTATGATACTCTAGCACTCTACCAAGGGTGACAAAATGAGACTCTGTCTCAAAAATAAAAAGAACGAATGTTTGTTGGACAGTGCCTGTAGCTCAGTGGGTAGGGCACTGGCCCCATATACCAAGGGTGGTGGGTTCGAACCCAGCCCCAGCCAAACTGCAACACAAATAGCCAGGCATTGTGGTGGGTGTCTGTAGTCCCAGCTACTCGGGAGGCTGAGGCAAGAGAATCACCTAAGCCCAGGAGTTGGAGGTTGCTGTGTGCTGTGATACCATGGCACTCTACCAAGGGTGAAAGAGTGAGAGTCTAGGGCAGTGCCTGTGGCTCAAAGGAGTAGGGCACCGGCCCCATATGCCGGAGGTGGTGGGTTCAAACCCAGCCCCAGTCAAAAACTGTAGAACAACAAAAAAAGAATATTTGTTATGAGAGATTTCTGACTTGGGTCTTCCTCTCTGCCAGAAGCTCTGGTGCTTTTTTACTGCTTCTCTATTCATTTCTGTCTAATAAAATCCTGTCTTACCACTGGAAAAAAAATAGAAAAATTAACTAGGCATTATGGTAGGCACCTGTAGTCCCAGCTACTTGAGAGACTGAGACAAGACGATCACTTGAACCTAAGAGTTTGAGGTTTCTGTGAACTAAGCTGATGCCATGGTGCCATGGCACTCTAGCCTGAGCAAGAGAGTGAGACTCTGTCTCAAAAAAAAAAAAAAAAAAGAACCTTTCCTGCTTTATCAGGCTCAGAGAGGGGCACCAGAACCTCAGAGAATTTGTCATTTAGTCTAACTCATACCTGGATGGGCACAATTAAGCCCACCTGCAGGATTGTACTTGTATCTGTGGACCCCCCATCAACCCCTCCAGTGCCCAGTGCAGGCCCTCTCCTTACCCACAGAGACCACAAGCTGTAGGACAAAGCGGAAGGGTTGCTGGTGGAGAAAGGCGATCACCACCCACAGGCTGAGTGGTCCCCACAGTAAAACTGTGATGGTTTCCATGCATACCGTGAAGTTGTCACCCCTGCAAGAGAAAGGATGAAGGGATACTGGAATCAATGTGCTCTTCCTGCAGAGTACCCCCCGATTAGTGCTCCCTGACCCACCACCACCCCACACCAAACACTTACAGGATGTATCGGCTATCTCCCTTGGCATATTCTTTCCCTGCAGAAAACAAGAGAGATACATGAAGAATAAAGGCAGGAAAAGGAACTCACATTCGTGAGAGCTGAGGGCTCCTCTAAGAAGACAGACTTCATAGCCTCCCCATGCCTCAGTTTCCTCATCTATAAAATGGGAGGGCAGTTAGGATCTAGAGGTTAATATATATAAAACAAGGATTGTATGTAAAGCCTGACAGAACAATGTTGCTGTGATTGTTTGGTACTCAAGAAATGTTTGTGGCATAAAAGGAAGCAGGTGGAGATAATGGAGTGATGTACTCGGTGAGTAAAAGCAAGTGAATGAGTGCATACAGGTGAACAGATAAGTGAATGAAAGTGTGAGCAAAGAATTAATAAGAAAAGCCAATATAAAAATAGACAGTCAGGGCCCGTAGCACAGTGGTTATGGCATCAGCCACATACACCCAGGCTGGTGGGTTTGAACCCAGCCCGGGCCAGCTAAATAATGACAACTGCAACAGAAAAAAAATAGCTGGGCTTTCTGGTGGCCACCTGTACTCCCA